GTGTTGCTGGCAAAAATATCAAAAATATACGGCGAAAATGCCAAAAAAACCGGAAAAATCTCGATGTTTAGGCTCTGTGCGCGCCGGGTTAAAAAATTTTTTTCTCAAAATCCTCTTGGCTACCGTGTTTTTTTATCACATAGAACCATTTAAGACCGTGCAACATTTGGTTTTGTCGATTTAAAAAAATAAGTCCCACCCTAGAGTTCAGGTCTTCGTTTCTGGTTCTTTTCAGGGATGCTTCGGTGTAGTCCATCTTGTCATCTTTTTCATCAGTGCCATCATTGTTTGAACTTCATTTTCATTCTCAATCAAGGTAGGGTTACTCTGTGATTGAGAGGCGGGGGGTTCAGAGTTATCAGGAATTGGAGTAGAGGTCCTCATGGGTTCTGTTTTCTCCTTGGTTTTTTTCTTATCCAGAACCTTAGGAGCACTCAGGGAGTAATGTTTCTCCCTAATGCAGTCGGTTTTATGACAGTCCATGACGTTATGAACAGCGCATTTGCACTGTTCGCAATGAGCCCGGTCATGTTGGACACACGGCTTCATTTCGGCGATAAGACGCAGGCGAGCTCACAATCAGCAGGACTACCGTTACTGTTGTCAGCGGTTCGGCGCGACGTGCGCCGCGCGCCGCGTTGATGCTCTAAGGTGTTGCTCAAAGTATGTGGGATTATTAATCACGAGTCGTCTTTTTTTATGTCGTCGGTCGCTTACCGATGGCATCGCTGTGATTGCGACTGATGGTTACGCCCATTTTTCTCTATCCAATCACGGGATTACGCTACTAAAAAATTGTTAGAGGTTAGGTTTCACTGATGGTGCTCCATGGAGACACTCCGGACTCGGGTGACGAGTGATTGCGGCTGATGGCGTCAAAGCGTCACGTGACTGATGGTCTAGCTCAGTTTGACAAACTAAGCTCCGCCCATTTCTGATGGCATCAACGAAACAAAACACGAATGATTGCGCAGTGACGGCGACTGATGGCGACCGATGGCATAAAAAAAGACGACTACGGTGACAATCGCTAGCTCAGATTGTAATCAGTCCATTGTTGCCGAATTTCTGCTCAAGAGCGCATGCGCAAAAACAGACAAGTCTTGCGTGAGTGGCCCAAGCTGGCAAATCTTTCGATTGCACAACACTTTAGGCCACTTCACAGAACTTAAACACGACACAAAACTGGGTCCCCAGGGACAGAAAAGGTTCAAAAAGGTCTATAGAAGGAAGCTCCTTTCCAGATTGCATCGATTGATGCCAAACACTGGTTTTAAAAGTCACTTAAAACAGGGTTTTGAGGTTGATTAACTGGTGCCGAGCAAAACACAACTTCTCGTCTCGAGAGCGCCCGTACGTCCTCCCGACATCATAGCTTGCAGTGTGCGTTTCGCAATAATTCTCTTCGGGTAATGTCCCTTAACAACGAGTAAATTTTCTGTCTCTGAGACCAAAAATATGCCATTAGAAGTCGACTACCTTTAGTTCATACATCGCCAGCAATATTTCTCCGAAAATTAAAAAAGTAATCAATTTTTGCCGAAGTGCATATTTGCGTTAAAACAATGTTTTCGCTCATGTTTCCGAATTTTAAAAAATACTTCCGCGGTTTCCACGCTTAAATGTGTAATTTTTATCAAAAGTAGTCCATTAAAAGTCAGCTACCTTAAATTTTTACGGCGAGAGCAATATTCCTTCAAACTTAAAAAAATTTTGCCAACTCGCTGATTTGTGTCCCATCTGCGCCTGAGAAGCGTTTTCGGCCAAGTTTCCGAATTGTTAAAACATACTTCCCTGTCTCGCACGCCCAAATGTTTAATTTATATCAAAATTAATGTGTTAGGAGGCTACTATCTCAAATTTTCGGGGTTCTAGCGAGACTGCTTCGTCAATAAAAAAAATCATCAAATCGCCAAAAACCTCAATTATCGGGATCGCAAATTTCACAAATGTGCGATGCGGCAGCACTTAAACTTTACCGAAAAATCTGAAACTTGGTCAAAAGTGTTTTCTAACCTAATGGAAAACTTCTATAACCAGAAAACGTAATTTTTTGAGGTCGAACTTTTTTCGGGACACCCTAGTGAAGAGCTTATTATTGCAAGAAAATTTGATGAATACGGCCTCCAACAGTCTGATAATTCCCTTTGAAATGTTGCCTCTTGACTCCTTATCGGGAATTTCATGTATTTGTAAAATAAACAGACGTAGGCTACTGGTTGCGACGTCACACAATGGCTACACTCTCCTGCCATTCTTTGCTTTAAATTTTCCCGCCAACAATTTCTGAAATTTCAGGAGCTTTTTTGGAGGGTTGGGGGGGGGGGGGGCNGGGGGGGGGGTCAGAAATTTCTGGAAAAAATTCTTTAAACTCAGAATGATGCACATTATCCGAAAATGAATTTAAAAAAATTGGTGGAATAGACCTATTCCTCCTTGGGACATTTAGGACATTGAATACTATGAACAAAAAAATGTAACATAACCTATCAAAAAAAAAAAAAAAAAAAACAAACAATGACAATAAAGAATCAGATGACTTGGCCTGGTGAAAGATGCAAGGAGGTGAAGAAAAACGATGAAAGATGGAATTTGAAAAGTTAATGATGGCCACGGATCATTTGTACAAAAATAGAAAAGTGAATTCTATTCTAACAGTAAATTCGATTATCCAAATAAAAAATCAAATGATGAAAAATCAAGGTTACAAAGAAAACCAAGAACTGGAAATTTAAAAAAACGGATTAGCAGGAAACAGAGCAAATAGGGTACTTAAGTTAATAGCCGTTTATAGATACACGGTAAGCCATTGAACCCAAATTCAAACTTTGCCTTTCTTTGATCGAAAGGGACAATATTGCAAAATTTTAATGAGTTAAAGCGATTCTTTCGAAAGTAATTGTGAACGGAAAACATGAGTGGGTGGGGAGCAAGTAACTATTATAGTGGGGATTGTTACTGTGGACATCAATCGGAACTTCAAATGTTTCATGAAGGACACACACAATAGCTAAAAATCTGGTGTCATCTGGATTTTTTAATATATTTCTCATACTCCCGTGGGTAAAATGAGCGTTTATAATCAGATTTTCCATACACTAATCTCGCCAAAAGATTCTTCAGTGTACCATGTCCTTTTTCAGCTTCTCAATGTTCGAATCAACTTAATTTTTTCTTAATTCTAACAACCTATCATTCTCTTTTTTAGAGTGTCGAAACAGGGTGCTCTAAAAGACCACATAGACGCTGCCCCCAACAACGGATATTATGTACTTCAAGTTTTTGATAGGGGTGAATATGTGTTGAAGGTGAGTGTATCAGTATCTCATGTATTCTCATGTATTCTGTTCTAATTGTCTTCGCAAGCTTCTCGGCGCTTGTTGTGCAGTAGGGGTGATCGAAATTCCCGACTTGAGCGCTATACAATCCAAATAGGGAAAAAAGGTGACCAAATTGCATGTAGATGACGGGAAAAATTGTCCGCAGCCGTAATTCCAACGGGAACATGGCGCTTAAGCCCTTCAAATATTTGCATTGTTAAAATACCTAAAAAATCAGGTTTTTTCTCATTCGGGTCGGTGGAGGTGCCCTCAAACACGCACTTTCAACATCAAGCACATGACATCCTACGTATTTTTTCACGAGGAATCAATTGTACTGGTTTTCTAAACGATACATCGTTGTATTTAATCGATAAATCGATTTTTCATTCGATTTTTGAGAAAAATTTGGTAATTTTCAACACTAACTGTATCAAATTCTATTAACTATACACAAGCAAAAGGCAACACACATTCATTACAAAAACAGCATTTTCTTATACATAGGCAAAAGTTTAAATGCGTAAGTAAACTAGTGCTCACATAAACTTTTATAAACAAGGCACTCACCCTCAAAGCAGTGTATACTGACCATTTTTCAGTTTGGGTACTTGATGATGGCCGGAATGCCGGGATTCTTGGCGTCGCAGCAATCGCGTTTCATGGCCCATCAGTCGAAAAAACATATTTTTCGAAATCCGACGACGGGTAGTGAAGGTGAGTTGTCTTTTGGCATCAAATGACGAGGAAAAAATCCTGGCTCCATAGGACAACACTTTCATCGAAAACATCAGACTCAAACTTCCAAAATCTCAAATTTTCGTTTTTACCAAGTTTTTTTTTTCTAAGATAATTTCTGGATGATAGGAAAGACACAACTGACACGTACCATGCGTGTTTTCATAGAAAATTTGAGTCAAGGTATCGATTTTTGTGGTTGAAAAATCAAGATGTAGATTTAAAATATCGTTTCTTGCCATATTTTGTCCGAAAAAGCGATTTTTTTGTGTATATCCCAAGAAATTTTGATTCATCATTGCAAGCCTTTGATAAATTGACATTTTGCCTTCAAAAATAGATTCTTCGTGAAAATATCCTAAGGGTAACGGGGTTACACCTGCTTAAAGTACGTAGAAATCCTGACAACTAAGGTCGATTTATCAAAGGCTTGCATTGATGAATCAAAATTTCTTGGGATATACACAAAAAAATCGCTTTTTCGGACAAAATATGGCAAGAAACGATATTTTAAATCTATATCTTGATTTTTCAACCACAAAAATCGATACCTTGACTCAAATTTTCTATGAAAACACGCATGGTACGTGTCAGTTGTGTCTTTCCTATCATCCAGAAATTATTTTAGAAAAAAAAAACTTGGTAAAAACGAAAATTTGAGATTTTGGAAGTTTGAGTCTGATGTTTTCGATGAAAGTGTTGTCCTATGGAGCCAGGATTTTTTCCTCGTCATTTGATGCCAAAAGGCAACTCACCTTCACTACCCGTCGTCGGATTTCGAAAAATATGTTTTTTCGACTGATGGGCCATGAAACGCGATTGCCGCGACGCCAAGAATCCCGGCATTCTGGCCATCATCTAGTACCCAAACTGAAAAATGGTCAGTATACACTGCTTTGAGGGTAAGTGCCTTGTTTATAAAAGTTTATGTGAGCACTAGTTTACTTACGCATTTAAACTTTTGCCTATGTATGACTAGTTAATAGAATTTGGTACAGTTAGTGTTAGAAATCACCAAATTTTTCTCAAAAATCGAATGAAAAATCGATTTATCGATTAAATACAACGATGTATCGTTTAGAAAACCAGTACAATTGATTCCTCGTGAAAACATACGTAGGATGTCATGTGCTTGATGTTGAAAGTGCGTGTTTGAGGGCACCTCCACCGACCCGAATGAGAAAAAACCTGATTTTTTAGGTATTTTAACAATGCAAATATTTGAAGGGCTTAAGCGCCATATTCCCGTTGGAATTACGGCTGCGGACAATTTTTCCCGTCATCTACATGCAATTTGGTCACCTTTTTTCCCTATTCGGATTGTATAGCGCTCAAGTCGGGAATTTCGATCACCCCTATTGTGCAGTGGTGTAGATGATCTGATCATCATTCTCCAAGTTATATTTCTTGGCGGTTGCTGATTGCTTGCATTGCTTGGTTTTAAGCTTTCTTTATCTGTCGTAATAATGGAAGCGCGTTCGGTCATACTTTGATCTCTAATTCATCGGTAAATGAAGATCCTACTAATTTTTTAACTGGAGTCTAGATTAGCATAACAATTTAATCTAGAGTGGCTCATTACACAAGGTACTTTAAGCATCCTGACTTATCAGTAGTGAAAGTCCACAGCCACATATTTCAATTTGCAATGCAGACTTCCTGTCATACTTCATGTTTTTAATGGAAAACTATCAAATGGCAATATTCAATAACCACCATGATTTTTCTTTTCTGTGTGAAGAAACTTCTGCGAAAACTTAAAGGAATGATGTTGATGTGATCTCCTTTTAAAAAATAAAAAAGGATCAGAGATTATCAAGTACAGCAAACAGGATCTGTGGTTGCGGACTTAGGCCGCCAAAAGGTGTCCACTGCAAAATTTCATGTAGAGAACGATTTGCACACTTGAAATTACTGTAATCTACTCCTAACCCAGATGTTTACTTTTTCACTCAGCCCTGGTTACAATAAATTTCAATTTTCCACTCACAAAATAACCAGATTCTCTACGTATCAAATTGTGCACTACAACAGTATTGGCAGATTCTGTAATTGAGCAGTTTTCCTTCCCCTCCCTTTGTTGTTCAAAAAGTAAACAATGTGCAACAACTGAATCCAAGCGCTTGAGGTTTTCATATTTTCACACCGCTGAGACTTTTGTGGTAAAGTTTAGTGTGCAATTTTACTCAAGTAAGTAGATCATAGTTTTCTCATGGGCGAGAAGTTTGAATTCATCCATTGAAGAAGGTTCATATTTGAGTTCCACTTGAATTTTAAATGAAAAAACATTAATTTAAATGCTTAAATTCGCACCTTGTCCAGTGGCCCATCAAAAAACTTCTCTCCTAGCATCTTCTGTTCAGGTACGAAGAACAGACAGGCTATAGAAAAGCTATCTTTGCAACAGTATACAAAATTCATCTTCCAACAAATACTTCAAGATTGCAAGGCTAAGAGAAAACCTGGAAAAGTCAGGGAATTCGGAAATAATCCGGATAGTCAGGGAATTCTGCTCTAAGTTGGGGAAATTCTCAGGGCTATTGCTTACCTAAGTCTGTGAGATAGGAATTCTATGAAGAATAATTTCTTTCATTCCTAGGAAGCTCCATGCTACAATACAAACTATTTGCTGTTCCTGGTTAGGTTAGATCAAATCGTTATGCAATCATTTTTCTAATCTTAGTATATTCTAAATGAGATTGTGAGGCTTGAAGTATTAAAGTACATCCCTTGTCGCAGGTTTTATCGGGAGGAAAAACCCCTGTATCTTGCCCGATTTAGTAATTCTGAAGTGAATGCTGTGTATGAAAGATTATTCCACTGCCGTGTCTGCAGTCATTAGCATAGCAGGAGAAAGAAAATTTTGAGAATGGTTACAACTCAAATTTTTACCTCTTTTATTCATAACTGTGAATGTTACCCTCTTCACAATGGGCCTGTTGCAAACTTTTGCTAGATCAAAACTAACAGTTGTTTCTTACAGATAATGCCTCAAAAATCACGATGAATGCATCAGCAAAGTCTGAAATGCACTCATAACTTCACAATCTGCGTAAGAACTTCGCCGTTCATTGAGCTTCCCGCTTCAAAAACGATACTATGCCACAGGTGAACATTTTGTTAGAGGAGTCGTTCCATCCTTGGCAATATTCATCATGGCCGACTTTAATCCGCCAAAACGCGTGTGGTGGGACGAGATAACATCTGACCAGGATAAGATCAGATACCAATCGGCGTATTTACATTCATATTTTCCTTGTGCCCGCCTTGATTGACCTTGAACTCTCTTCGAATTACGCGCGGAACTACGGAAGCGGCGGCCTTGATGAATACTTCCGACGATGGAGAGCCTCCTGTAACAAAATGTTCACCTGTGCCGTAGTATTGTTTTTAAAGCGGGAAGCTAATAAAAACGCAAATTTCTTACGCAGATTGTGAAGTTATGAGTGCATTTCAGACTTTGCCGATGCGCTCATAGTGATTTTTGAGGCATTATCTAATGAAAACAACTCTTATTTTTGCTCTAGCGAAAGTTTGCAACAGGCCCATTAGGAAACTTTGCTAAGAGGTGACTCAAATAATATAAAAAAAGTGACTATGAAAAGTCATTTGAATCACAAAACGTTTCATCTTTGTCAATGTCCATTCCCACCTTGGTTAAAAAGTAATCCCTCAGCAACCAGGCTCAACTACTTTTAACTGTCACAATTTTTATGTTTCTAGGTTGAAAGTAAAGTACGTATTTTGACCCTCATAACTAATCAATACAAATTTGCTGTCTCCTTAGGTCTCTGGACCCTCTGGATGGGTTTTCATGCCCTCTGAGATAGCATTAAATGTGGACGGAGCCAATGATCCATGCAGTCAAGGGAAGGACATAAACTTTCATTTCCAAGGATTTGTTGTGAATGGGACGGTGAGCTAAGAAAATAATTTAGAAATTAGTAATTATTGTTGTTGACTGCTATAGTGCTACGATTAGTCCAAATTTGCAAGGTTGCCAAAGAAGTACAAAGGTCATCAATAGGATGAGGCAGTGCAAGTAACTTGAAGTTTAGGCAATACATGCAAGTTTATTACAATGAAAATCAAAATGATCTGGACAGAGACACTGACACACAAGGTGACAGGAACAGTAGTCTATTAAGTGGACATTCTGGGCAAACCTCCGGGCTTTTATAGATGCAGTAAAAGTGCAGGGTTATGTTAAGTATTATTTCTGCAATTTTTTAGTTTATTTTCCAAAGAAAGTACACTTGCATTCTCCCATGATGTGGGACCCAGACCTGAGACCTTGTGGAGAGCACCGTTCACGTGTCGTAGATCACGAAAATATATGCCATTCAAATTCATATATATGTAACAAGGTGGAGAAATGGTGCTGGGTCCACACCATTTCGTGGGGAAAACAAAGCCAAGAAGTTCCAAAAATTGAAAGGACCCCGCACGGTTCTTATGGAAAATGGCCCTCTGTCAAATGCGTTGAAACTTCAGTATGTTGTGCAGCATGTCATCGTGAACGAAAGTTCCAATAGGCCAAACAAGATCCCATGTGCGGTTTTCGAGATATTCGCCGTTTTATGTGCGTAACCGGAGGTTTCGCGCGCTCCCGCCGGAGCCATACCATTGTGCGGCGCCGCTCGTGCCCTTCCCTCCCAGTCACTCTCCGCTGCCCCGCCGCCCGTACCTTGGCTCCTCCATCGCTCCAACTACGACGCTCGCGAGGCTGCGCCCATCATTACCGGACCGCGCTCGCACGCCGTCTTCTTACGCGGCCTC